ACTTAAGTAAGACCCTATTCCTCACCTCCTTTGCTCTCACCTTCACACTCCATCGCCTGCCGGGTGAGCTCCTGACCCTTCCCAAATGGCCCAGTTGACCCCTCCAGGTTTATCTTTCACTCATTTTACCCACTCCCATCCTGGGTTCCAGACTCTCACTTACTTTATTTTTTTTTAAGTAAGCTCTGCTTAAAAGAGCTTCAGCTCAGTGACCCCAAGATCAAGAGTCGTCGCGGGCTCTACCTAAGGTGCCGGCCAGGCGCCCCCAGGCTCTTACTTCTGAATGATCCAGCTTTCTCTTGCTGGCAAGAGTTGTTTCCTCTGGAATGCCATCTCTCTTTCTATTCCTTCTAAACCTCCACCCAAATCTTTCAAAATGCAGGGACACCCGTGTGGCTCAGTCAGTTAAGTGTCTCTTGATTTCAGGGTCATGGGTTCAAGCCCGGTGTTGGGCTCTCCATGCTGGGCATGAATACTACTTAAAAAAAAAAAAAAAAAAAAAAACCAGTTTGGGGGACGCCTGGGTGGCTCGGTTGATTAAGTGTCTGACTTCAGCTCAGGTCATGATCTCACGGCTCGTGAGTTCGAGCTCTGCACCAGGCGAGATGCTAACAGCATGGAGCCTGGAGCCTGCTTCAGATTCTGGGGGCCTGGGGGGGTCTCTCTGCCCCCTCTCCTGCTCGCTCTCTGTCTCTGTCTCCGTCTTTTTCTCAAATATAAAATGAAACATAAAAAAATAATAGTAAAAAAATTAAAAATCAGTTTGGGCATCAATCTGCCCAGCCTTCCCTGGTCCCCAGCTTGAGCTAAGGGTAGCCCCACTCCCCCCACCCGCCTCTACACTGCCTAGTGTTTCCACCATATGGCGGGTGTCCAGGATTGTGTATTCGTTACAAGGTCTGGAGCTGTGTATTAGTTTCCTATGGCCGCTACAACAAAGTAACACAAACTTCATGGCTTAAAGCAGGAATGTATCATGTCGCAGTTCTGGAGGTCAGAAGTATAAAATGCGTCTTCCTTAGTTAAGATCAAGATGTCTGCCGGGCTACATTCCTTCTGGAAGTTCTAGGGGAGAATCTGTTTCCTTGTTTTTCCAGCTTCTGGAGGCGCCTGCATTCCTTGGCTGATGGCCGTTTCCTCCAGCTTCAAAGCCAGCAGCACAGCTTTTTCAAAGATTTTAAAAATATTTATTTATATTTGAGAGAGAGAGAGAGAGAGAGATCATGAGCGGGGGAAGGGCAGAGAGAGAGGGAAACAGCATCCCAAGCAGCCTCACAAACTGAGAGATCATGACCTCAACCGACATCAAAAGTCTCTCAACCGACATCAAAAGTCGGACGCTTAACACCGACTCCCCCCCCCCCCCCCCCCCCCCCCCCCCCCCCCCCCCCCCCCCCCCCCCCGCCGCCCCCAGCCACCCAGGTGCCCCATCAAATCCCTTACTCTCTTTTGTTGTCACATCTTCTCTGATTGAGTTCCCTGCCAGGACCTTTGTGATTACAGTGAGCCCACCGCAAAAGCCGGGATAATCTCCCCATCCCCAGAGCGTTAACAGTCACATCTGCCAAATCTCTTTTACCACCTAAGGTCACGTTATTCACAAGTTCTGGTGATCAGAGCGTGAACATCTTTGTGCGGGGGCTTAGGGGGTGGGCGTTACTGTGCCCAGCACAGGTTGTGTCTCTTTCCCCGACTGGAGGGCAGCAGGAAGTGGAGTGAGGCTCATCCCTGGGTACCCACCATCAACCAGCACAGGGCCAAGTCAAGAGTAAAAAATTTTGCTGAATGAATATGGGAGTCAGGCCAGTGGTACGTGCTGAAACAAGAAAGCTGCCCACATTAGATCTTTGCCCCTGCTCCTGCTGAAAGCCCTCTCGTGTCCTCTCCAAACCCTTCATGACTCCGCCCCTGCCTGTGTCCCTCGTCCTGTTTTCCATCCCACTTGCCCACCGTCTTTTTTCTTCAACCACGCTGGCCCATTTTCAGTTCTTGGAACACAACCGGCTCTTTTCCACCTTAGAGCTCTTGGTCATGCTGTTCCCCACACTATCAATTCCACCGGACTGATAGCTGAGTGAAGACCGAGAGAGTCTGTCTCATTTCTGATGTGTCCTCAGGACCCAGAACAAATTAGATGCTCAACAAATATTTGTGTTCTGTCAGGAGGACTGTCTGTGGAACGATCCTGGAGGCTCTCTCTGGAATTCCTGGCTATGAGCTGACTGGGACAGGATCACGACTTCAACTTCCTGTTGAAGTCTGTACGTGATGTTTCCAGCAAGTCCTGGAAAGTGCTGGTGCCCAAGCTCGGACTGCATTTGCCACACTTCCAACACCACTGTTTCTCTTGACTCTATAAAGAGAGTAAGAGAGGTAGGAGGTGGGTGTCTTTCTAAGATTACAGCCCCCACAGTGTGGCAGCCTGAGCCCAGCCAAGCAGCCCTTGTCAGTAGACATCAAGAGAATGGGCTGGTGGTGCCAGGACGGCTCAGTAGGTCAAGCCTCCTACTCTTGGTTTCAGCTTAGGTAGTGATCTCATGGTTCATGAGATGAAGCCCAGCATTGGGTTCTGCTGTGACAGTGGAGAGCCTGCTTAGGATTCTCTCTCTCTCTCTCTCTCTCTCTCTCTCCCTCTGTTCCTCCCACTCTCTCTCCCTCAAAATAAAGAAATAAACATAAAAAAAAAGGGAGAGAGAATGAACTTCTTTTTATTCACTGATGCTCTGCCTCTATTTCGTTTGTTTATTTATTTATTTGTTTATTTATTTTAATGCTCTGCTTTAAATCTCACTTTGTCTTACGCCCTTTGTTAATCTCCTGGCTCTCGCTCTAGGTCCCAGAAATGCAGTCATGTGCTTAACACTCATGGCCTGCCTCCCAGGAATAGAAGGTGCCTGACCTGCTGAGCACCAGGTTCCCGTCCCAGGTCGGTGATTTTTCCAAACTCAATTATGAATTAAGTTAAACACAGCCGACACGGTTCAGTGCATGCGCTATATCTCTGTGATGTCCCTTGATTTTTTTTTTTTTCAGTGAAGTTTAAGTTCTTGAGATTTCTTGCGATGAGATTTCTTTCTGTTGTTAAATTTCCCACCATTTATTCATACGTTTTTCTACTGATGGCCGTTCCCAGTTTTGAGCTGTCACACTCGATGTTGCAGTAAACGTGCTTACATCTCAAGCGCAAGTTTGACAGTTTCTCACGGGTATGTATCTTCCACCCACAATAGAGATCACTGGACCATGAAGATACCCTTATTTTTTTCTTGACCAGGTATCGCAAAAATGATTCCTCTGGGCACGCGAACTCACTGCCAACAATTTTAAGTCATAACATCTTATTCTGAAACTGTTTAAGAACTTACAGAAATAGTACAGAGAGTCCCTTCGTACCCTACACCTAGCTTGCCCCTCAAACCCCACCATGTGGATGATATCTTAGGTAAATACAGTGCATTGTGGAAGCCAGAAATTGACATGGCTACATTGTTTAATCAGGTACAGATCTGATTTGGATTTTTCCAGCATTTCTTTGGGTTTACATGCACTTTAAAAATGTCTGGTATACAGTTCTATGAAACTTTATCAAATGTGAATATTCCAGTATCCATTCCTACAATGAGGATACAGAAATGTTTCATCCCTACAAGGGACACTCCCTCCGGTTACCCGCTACTAACAGCACGCTTCCCCAAACTTTAACCCCTTGACACCACTGGTCTGTTCTCTCTCACCATTGTTACTAGATAGAGAATAGGTTCCAAACTCAGGTTCGGCCGCTCGCTGCTGCAAAACCAATACTCGATACACAAGTGATGGTGGGAAAGGGAAGTTTTTTATTCAGGAAGCAGGCAACCTGGGGAGCTGGTGGACTAATGTCTCAAAGACCATCTTCCCCGTATTTTTTTCTTTTTCATCACAGCAGTGATCTCGCGTACTCGGTGCGATCCATTAATATTTTTATTCAGCAGTTTGTGTGTACTTGGAACCTCTGAGTCTGTGGAAGTCAGATTTTAATTGAATGTCTACAAGGCAAGAGAAGTGGACAGATTTGCTGTGGGTAAAGTTGGCCAGTCTCTGCCAGTTGACTTGAAGAATATAATTTACTACAGTTTGCAGCAGGTAGATGCCATTGAGGCTCCAATAGGGAAAGCAATTGTACAAAGCAATACAGTCAGGCAGTGGCAAGAAGGGGCTGGGAACCCATCAGCCTGGCTCCAGGGTTCCTAAGAAGCAGTATATCCTGGTTTCTAAAACTATAGTCTTGGGGCGCCTGGGTGGCTCAGTTGGTTGGGCGTCCAATTTTGGCTCAGGTCATGATCTTGCGGTTCGTGAGTTCGAGCCCCACATTGGGCTCTCTGCTGTCAGCTTGGAGCTTACTTCGGGTTCTCTTTCTCTCTGCCCCTCTCCCATGCGTTCTCTCTCTCTCTCTCTCTCTCTCTCTCAAAAATAAGCTATGATCTTTGGAAGCAGCCAATTTGCAAGCCGTCATATCCCATGGCTCTCTGGGGCTGCTTCTCCCTCTGTAAACAGTAGAATGTAGTTTGCAGACCTGTTGAGAAATTAGAAATGAAGTAAGGGGCACCTGGGTGGCTCAGTCGGTTGAGCATCTGACTCTTGATTTGGGCCTGTGGTCTTAATTTAATTTTCAGAAATCTAAACCTGCTTCCCGCTTCCGTAATTGACAGTGGGCCTGCTTGGGATTCTCTCTCTCCCTCTCTGCTCCTACCCAGCTCGCTTACCCTATCTCTCTCTAAATAAATAAATTTAACTTTTTTTTTTTTTTTTTTTTTTTTTTATGACGAAAGTAAAGCGTGGAGCTGGGGGCCTGGACCACGACATGTGTTCTAGAAACATTAGTGGTTCTTATCTTTTCTATTACTATCTTGTCCCTCCCTCTGAACAATTCCTAAGGGTGGGCAGCTTTCTGAGCAAAAGAGTTGGGAGAAGGAGGAATAGGGACAGCCCCTAAGGGTGGAAGGTTGACAAGAAAAAAAGCCCTTCTTGGGGCGCTTGGCTGTCCCAGTCCATAGATCATGAGACTCTTGATCCCTGGGCCCTATATCTGGTATAGAGTTTACACAAGCAAAAAGAAAAAAAAGCACCTCTCGTTATGTCAGGTGGTGAGAAGTCGCCCTCCGCGAGGTGTGAAGCATTTCTGATCCCACCCCCTGCAAGGCGGAGCCAACGGTGCGCTCTTCCAATGGGGATGCTACATTTAAAAGACCTCCTCCTTTGCATTGGGACTGGAGGGGCGCGCAGGCCTAGTGGCCAATGAGACGTGGCGTAGGGGCAACGGGGGAGGAGAAATGACCACGCCCCCCTGTGGGCGGGGTGTCAGGCTTTCAATTTGCAACAAGAGGCGGCTGGACTTTGGGACTCAGCATTTTTGCGATGGCGCTGCGCTGGGGCATCGTGTCAGTCGGCCTTATCTCCAGCGACTTCACGACGGCGCTGCGGACGCTGCCTCGCTCCGAGCACCAGGTCCACACTCCCTCCGGAATCCTGTGGAAGAGCAGGCCGGGGAGCCGGGGCTCCTGGGTCTGAGGGAGGAGGGAGTTAGGGTTTCCTAGTCTTTTCTCCACTTCTGTCCGAAACTGGAGTTTCGTCCAGTTTGGGAGGGTTTTGTTCTGAGCTACTGTGAAGAGAAGAAATTTAGGTGCTAAGGGGTCAAATAGTCGCTTGTCCCAGATCTCTCTTTCCCAGGACCCGTGTCCAGCCCCCCTCACCTCCTTCCCCAGGACCGTACCTCCCCGCCTCCGCCCTGGGGGATATAGTTTTTCTCACCCGGGGCCTTCTCCATCACCTCTCTCCCAGCCACCTGCCCCGCGCCTGCGCCTTCCCCAGTCCCTCTAGTCTGACCCTAGCGCCCCTCCAGGTGGTGGCGGTAGCAGCCCGCGACCTGAGCCGGGCGAAGGAATTTGCGCGGAAACATGACATCCCCAAGGCCTATGGGTCCTATGAGGAGCTGGCCAAAGACCCGAATGTGGGTGAGTGACAAGGGCCTCCGAGGCCCCCGCGGCGCTGCCTCTAGCTAGGCTGCTCCGTAGGATAAGCAAGGCTCTGCGGGATGGGCCAATCCCTGTGTGCTTCTGGAAGGATCTGGGGCTGGCAGGCAGAACAGTAAGAAACGGGCTTGGTCTGGGATTAGCGGTCTGGTATGAAATTGCATTTAGGGACTAGTCCAGGAGGGGCTTGAGTTTCTAAGAGAGCCCTTTCAGGCTTTAAGTAAGCTCTGGGGCCAGGGCTGCTGTGTTCTGGAATGGCCTGGATGGAAAGGCAAGACAGTGTAGTTGCACAGCAGCCTGACCGGAGTTAAGCTGCCTCAGCTGGTAAAATAATGGTAGCTACCTCTTGGCGTAGAACTTTGCCCAAGGTCTTAGGATGTTGGGGGCGGGAGCACTAAGTTGGGGGCGGGTCCTGGAAGTCCGGGGTGGGCAGGGCTTCTGATCTCTTGACCTTCTCCCTTCCAACTAGAGGTGGCCTACATTGGCACTCAGCATCCCCAGCACAAGGCCGCGGTGTTACTATGCCTGGCAGCGGGCAAGGCCGTCCTGTGTGAGAAGCCCATGGGCGTGAACGCTGCGGAAGTTCGAGAAATGGTTGCCGAAGCCCGGTCCCGAGGTCTCTTCCTTATGGAGGTGAGGGTGCGACCTTCCAACCTCCAATGTAGCGCTTGTCGCCATTACTAAACATGGTTGCCAGTGGACGTTTTTGGAAGAACACAAAGGCAGGGTTTGTCAAGAATTAAGTTGTCCACAAAGTGCACTGGGGTTGGTGTGTTTTCCCGGACGTGGCTGAGCGATGCCATGAAACCTACTAGCAACATCTATGAGGAGTAAGAGCCATTGCTTTTGGCCGTTAGCAAACATGGCAGCCTGAAAGATCTTTGCTCAGCTTTTCAAAGAGAGATGCCAGCCGTGAAAATGGCACAGAAGAGCAATGGGCTTACTTTCGGTGGATTTCCAAGGATAGCGGTCAGAAGGCCGAGGGCACACCTACCAACTCTCAAGGTCAAACTGCCTTTGTTTTCGCCCTTATCAGACACGGCTACTTACAGGGGCCAT